AACAACTCCAAAGCAGCTCCGCTGGGCGCCTGCGCGGCTGATTGAGAAACACTCATTTGCAAAACGATGGGAAATAATTAAAAAGTTTTCCCGGAGCCCGGAGGAGGGAAGCGGCCCGTTTGTCACGCCAGCAGCGCGTGGCAGGCGGCAATTCATCACGCTTGTCAGGTGTCAGCCACTGAAAAATTTAACTCCAGCAGCCCCGAGCTGGGCTCACTCAACGCCCCATCGCTCATCGCGCGCCCTGCCAGACATATGGGAGCCGCCAAAGGCAGGAGGCAGCAGTGACTGGAGGGTGTGACAGAGGGACCCTCCCTCCCGCTCGCCTGCCGCGCAGCGATGCCGACACGGCTTTTCACGGCTCTGAATTGCAGATGAAATAAACAGACAAGGCCAGGCTGGAAATGAATCAGGGAGACGATTCGTCACTGCCTGTCAGAGGCACTGGGGCTGCCAAGGCTGGCGGTGGCAGGGGAAGCGGAGGGGGAATCTCCAGGGACAGGCAGCAAGGGGGGGGGGGTTCAGCGTTGCTTCCTCTGCTGCAATCATGGGACACAGCTCCCCAGGGAAAGGGGGGAAGGTATGGAGCAGCACCTTCTCCCCAGCGCCAAGGAGGACTTCATGGGGGATCCTGCCTGGCCGGCACTGGTGGGGCCACATCTGGAGTCCTTTCTCCCACTACTGAAAGGACATGGATGCATTGGAGAGAGTCCAGACAACGGTTGTGGTCCATGGCAGACCAAACACGACCCTTCCTATTCCCCGCTCCCCGGGGATCCCATCCCCTGTGCACCAGTTATCAGACAAATCCCATCCCTCCACCACCCCTACCTGGGGGGCTGTGGCTTGAACAGATATCTATGCCTCTATGCAGCACTGGGGAGGCCACATCTGGAGTCCTGTGTCCAGTTGTGGGCCCCCACTACAGAAAGGATGTGGACACACTGGAAAGAGTCCAGCAGAGGGCAATGAAAATGGTTGGGGGCTAGGGGACAGGATTGGTGAGGAGAGGCTGAGGGAAATGGGCTGATTGAGCCTGCAGAAGAGAAGACCAAGGGGGATTGAATAGCAGCCTTCACCTCCCTGCAGGGGGACTGCAAAGAGGATGGAGCTGGACTGGGCTCAGTGGGGGCAGATGGCAGGACAAGGAGCAATGGGCTCAAGCTGCAGCGAGGGAAGTTGAGTTGAGATGTTTGGAAAAACTTTCTGGGTGTTGAAGCACTGAAATGGAGATGATGGAGTCTCCATCCTTGGAGGTTGAGGTTGGATACCAGGAAAAACTCTCTCATGAGGAGGGTGGTGAAGCACTGGAGCAGGGTCTCCAGAGAGGTGGGGGAGTCTCCATCCTTGGAGGTTTTGAAGACCCAGGTAGACAAAGCCTTGTCTGGGATGATGTAGTTGGGGCTGGTCCTGTTTGGAGCAGGGGGTTGGACTAGGTCCCTTCCCACCCTCATTTTCTATGTTTCTATGATCTGCATGAGCTGCCCGTTTGCTTGTGGGCTCTGGTCGATGATATGAAGTCATGACGACTCTATGGAGATGGTAACGTGCCATTTGCTGACAAAGCTTGAAGTCGTTCCCACCGGAGGGGATGGGGGTCAGCAGTCTTTCAGACTGTGCTGTGTCCAGACAGGTCAGCCAAGGGAACCAGTTTCCCCTCCCAACCTCTATATGGGGCTGGGGGCTTGACAAGTGACTTGTCCCATCCTGCAGCGGGGTTCATAAAGGGACAAGAGAAAGGAGCAGATCTCCATAGGGAGCTGCTGGGTAGAAGAGAGGGGACAGGGAGGTTTCCATAGTAGGGGACAGCCCATTTAGCCCTTCCCCGGTTAGGGCTCTGTCACTCAGAAGAGAGGCTGGCACCCAAGGAAGATCCTGGACACACCAGAGGGCTCTGACCAAGCCCAGTGAACCCTGCAGAGCAGGCAGAAAAACCCCAGCAAGGAGACACGGACCAAGGGGTTTAGGGTCTGACTGATATGGGCTGGGGGGGTTTGCCTTCATCTATAGTGGGGGGACAGCTTGGGCCTGGGTCTGAGCTGCCCGTACAGTCCAGAGCCTTGGGGCACTCAGAGATGCTCCCACAAGGTGCTCAGGAGCTGTCCCAGGGCAGTGTAGGACCACCCTGGTCCGCCAAGCTGGGCACGCAGAACCAGCCCAGACATCAGCCCACGCTGGCGGTGGTTGCAGGTGAGCTCGGGGGCAGCAGAAAATCAACCTGGAACCTACGGAGGGGACGGCGCCACTGCCTGGGGGGTGGGCTGCAAGATTCAGGACCCCTCGCCAGCCTGAAGCCCACTTCATTGTGGTCGGGGAGAACCATCTCCCCACTCCACGCATGCACATGCACACATGCACATGTGCACACACTTGCACATGTGCACACCCACATACACACATGCACATGTGCACACATGCATACACACACACACACGAACACATACCTGTATACCTGCACATGCGTATATATACATCCACATGCATGCCCACCTGCATATGTGTATGCACACACACCTGCACACATGTATTCACATGCATGCACACACAGCTGCACATGTGCACACACATCTGTACACGTGCTTCAGCACACGCGCACATACACACAGGAACCTGCACACACACGTGCATAAACATGTGCACACACACGTGCGCACACGCACACACCCAGAGACCCCTTATTTTGGCCATTGCCTCGGCAACAAGATGAACATTATGAGGACCCAGTGACTCTTATAAATGCAAACCACTTCGTAATTATTTAAGCAGGTCTCGGCTCCGTGAGACCCTGCCGGAGGACTGGAGCCCACCGCGAGCTGCGGCCAAATTCGTGCAGAAATCTGAGCCCTGCAGAACCCGGCGGGGTCCATTTCGAACCGGAGGTGCAGCGCGGGGAGTCCGCTGGGGGCAATGCAGGCAGTGAGCGTAAAACATCGCAGCTACCCAGGTGGCGGAAAGGCCTTGCAAGATGGGGGTCTGGATGAGCTGCGGGGGCTCACGCTGCCGCGGGACAGCGCAGCAGCCGCGCGCTTGTCGGCAGCAGGGGGAAAAGGCAGAGCCAGACACGAGGAGAAGGAGGCCCAGACCGCCAGCGTGGGGTCTCCGGAAAGGCAAGTCCCCTTCCAGCCCTGGCCAAGACGACACGGCTCCCCTGCTCTGCTTAGCCCTCCAGGCGCTGGCTCCCACCTGCACGAGATGCAGAACAAGCCAAGGAGGATTTTCTAGGCAAGGCAGCAGTGAGTACAGGTGAGTCTGGCTGTCACGGGGGTCAAAGAATAACAGAAAATGAGGGACCTGCGGAGGTCTCGTCTAGTCCAACCCCTGCCTGAGGCAGGATCAGCCCTGTGCAAACCAGCCCAGATACATCTGACCTCTGAGCAAAACCAAACAGCCCCCCCCGACACAACCACAAGACACAAACAATTCAGGGGAGGGGGCCTTCATCCACTAGAGAGGTTCAGCAGGAGCCATTTGCTGGAGGCCAAACTCCCCTTGGCTCCAGGAGGAGCTGTGGACACTGCTGCTCAAACCCAGGCTGCCTGTTCAAGGGGCGATGCAAGCCTACGATTTCAAGCACGCCAGCGTGCGAGTTTTGCTCTCCAGCTCTGTCACTGAAGGGTGAGCTCCTCAGGGCTATGCAGAACACCAAACGCTGCATTAAAAGACAGGCAAGCACCAGCCAACCTGCCCGAAATCCAGGTGGGCTCCAAGACGCTCGTGCAGCGAGCGAGTCGCGCCGACGTGGCTGTCAGGGAAATCGGTCCAGCTGGATTCCCAGCGGGTTTGAAGCCTCCAAGCGTTGGGCGTCCGGTGCCGAACACCTCGGGCTGGGCTGTCAAGAGCTGAGTATTTGCACCACCATGTCTCTGGGAAGAGGCATCGAGTGTGAAACCAGCCGT